CATCGCCACCACATACAGCCACACCATCGCCAGCCACCAAAACCATCGCGGTCTCTGTTATGTGTACTTGCTGTCTGCAGCTGGTCATGCTTAGCTGGACCCTGCTTCCACATCTCTCAGAAGAGGCCGTATATCCTCGCGAGTTCGATCTGCAGGCGACACTCAAATGCCAAGCCTTGGTCGCCCTCTTGGTAAACATGATCCCGATACGGTAAAATATGGTTCGGCTACTCCGATGCTTCTCTTGGCCCCGGGTGACGTACTCATAACGGTGTTTGCGATGGGCTGGAGGCTTGACGATCCACCAAGATGTACCGACCCCACAACTCCCATACTTCACTCGTAGCTCGACGTCTACAGGTTTTCGGTGTCATGATTCAGCCGTTCTTTGCAGGCACGCCCGAACAATTATATCGAGCGTTGTGGGCGCAACCTTGCGAACGCGCGTCTTGCATCGAACCACGTCCAAGAATGTGGCCAAATCCTTCGCCGAAGCCATACTAGTTCAACAGATCTTTAGCGCCACTTTTTGGGTTTCCGACCTGCGGTATTATTTCAATCATCGTGGCGGTGACATCGGGCATTCACGTGCACCAGAAGTTTTGGAACGTTCGACGGTGGCCCTGTGGCAGACGCGTCATATTATGTCGCGTTGGTAGATCTTTTCGCTCACGGTTTCGAGCCCTGGTTGGCAGGTGCTGAACGCGCGCGTAGTCTCACTTCCTTGCATTGGTCGTTGTCCCCCTCTGGTTGCACATAAGAGTGCCTACATACGACATCCTTGGGCCCAGGGGCGACGGGCTGGACGCGTTTCTCAACATTCGCGCCTTCCCGTTGGCGTTGTTTTGCTGCGTGTTTTGTTGTTTCGGCCTTGACGGACCCAGTACATTGACGTTTTAGCTTTTCGCGAATGCCTACATCTATAAGCGACTTGCATCCTAGGCTTGACGTCCCGATCGTGACGTGCTACAGCATGCGTGCACGATGTCGGTGGCCATATTTTTCTATCGGACAATGATGCTTAGACATAGAAGGGCTGCAGCTAGACCGCGCGAACACTATAACGCGTTAAGGAACTGCCGCCTCTAGACATACACACATATACATATATATATATACATATACATATACATATATATATATATATGCACACATGTTTGTACCGTTTGCTTGTCCAGAGGCATACAGCAGCCCACGGCGAACCCACCATGCCCCCCTGCCCGGGGCGAACTAGGAGTCATCGCGACAAACGACCCAGGACTCGCCACAATCTTCAAGTTCGGCACTGCCACCTATCTCGGGCCTTCGAGCGAACTGGAATTTATGTTGTGGGGCTGCAGGCACGCTTCGAAGCGCTTCGCACTATGCATCTGGAGCAGATTCGCAAGCGTGAGCTCGTGCGCTAGTGTATCTTGCGGGGGCGGCTTTGAAAGTGAGTGCGATTTTCTCCTTCGGCGTATGTGCGTGGCCCATCAACGCGATCGAGCCCCTCCATTTCTGCGCTTGGAAGTCTTCGGGGCCCGCGCGGCATTTCGCAGTGCGTTCTCAGCGCCATGATTGTGATTTCCTCTGCGCGTTATCGGGCCTGCGTGCAGGTATTCCCTGCTGGCGCGAGCAGGCGATTGCGCGGGTTTCTCTGGCAGTGCACCTGGAGCTGGCGGGACAGGATAGAATTTATGATTCATGACGGCGCGGAAGTGGGCCAACCTTGTCATCCACCATACTTTCCTCGCCCCGCCTGCCTAGGAGCCATTGACAGGACTACGCCATCGCATCGTTCTTTGGGCAAAAACAACAGCGCACAAACCTCGCGCGACCATGGCCCAGGACCCGGCTAATACTTGCATCGGGCCCTTGGGCGCCCGGGACTGCAACCATCTCAGGGTGTCACTTGGAGGTGAAACTTGCGCCGCTCACCCGCGCGCGGCCTTCGCTCGCGGGCGCCAGCTGCGCGCTGGGAAATTCCATCCGGCAGTCGACGCAGGTGCAGATCGCGGCTTCGCCAATCTGCCGTGGGCCCTGTCTTCCTCCAGTTTTTTTCGGCCTTGACCCCGCGCGCTGGTGACGATGGCGCCTGCCTGTGTCGGGCGATCCAGCCGACGCAAGCACCGCGCCGTCTTTGCAGGAGGTTGGAGGCACCGCAAAGGATTATCACATAGACCGTGGAAGATGAAGACCCGCGCGTTCTGTGGGCAACCGGCATTCTCCACGCGCAGCGTCGTTGGCGTCGTCTGCTTTTCCATGCTCATATTCGGCGGCGCCTTTGCGCGACCCCTTCTGCACGCGCCCTGCAGCGGCATCGCGTAGCGCGTCTTGGGCGCCCCCAAGTGTCTGCGAGCTCCATCGCAGAGAGTTATAGCGCATCACAACCCACCGTGCTGATATCCCACAGCGGAGCGCAAGCTTGTCGCGGGCGGCGCGGCCACGAAGCGTAGCGAACCAGGGCACTCATGTGCGAGCAATAGACGCAGCGCGTCCAAGCGCCCAGGGCGACCGCGCGATTGGCGGGCACGCAAGGGCGTCCAGCTCCTCGCCAATGTTATAAATTATGGATGGGCTTCTCGTGGATTTGATTCTACGTTCGATGATTTAGACGCGGCCGTCTGTCTCCTTGCGCCCCCCACAGACATAACTACTTGGAACATCGCAATATTTGTGCACGACGCAGCGAGTGCATGGATTATCTTGGGTCATCATGTCTCGTGCTGGCTGGGGGTATGGTTGCGTGGAGTCTACGTCCTTGCGAGTTGCCATAGGTTTTTAATATAAAATAATGGGCGCATGCAGAATGCAGAACACGCGCGCTGACGGCCTCGCATTCAACATCGCCCCATGGGGTCTTGGGAGGCAGCGCCAGGTCCCGCCACTGGGGCCGCGCAGTGTTCTCGTTCAGCAGCATCGCGCGCGCGGTGAAGGGTTTCCTCGGTGTTCGGTTCTTCTCTTTGTTCAGGCGCGGCCCTTGTTCAGCCCTCGTGCATGCTCTTCGGCGTTTCATTGTCAGGCGCCGCCCCCCGCCCCGTGCCATCCTACCCCGAGCGCCGCCATGAATAGAGCCGGGCATTTAAGGCAACTACTTCGTCGCGCGCTCTAGAGGCGGCAGCAGGCAGACGCGCGGGCCATGCCATATTGGCGTCTCATCGCGCGCGCCGGGCACGTCTGTTGAAGCATGCGCGCCGCGCGCGCAAACCGAAAATTGCGTTTGAATCCGGCCACATCTGTCAGACATGATGACAGCGCGCTACCCTTTAATAATTTGACGTTTTTGCTGCGTGGGGCTTTGGTGGAACCGTGCACGCCGCGGCGCCGACATGGGGAATCTGGTCTCAGCGGCGACTTGTCACGCCTAGAAGACGGGGTGCCACGCAGCATCGTCGTTGCGTGCCACGTCGCGAAATATGACCACTACGATCTGCGTGCAAATGGCGTCTGCATAGATCGGATCGACTCGACCCTGATCAAAGCGATTTGATCAGCGCGTGCGTGGTGGATCTGGCTTTATATCGCATGGGATATCCCACCGCATGTGCCGCGCAGATTCAGTGGGACATTTATCCCTTGGGGGGGCGCGTGGACAGTGTGCTTCTGCGCATTGATATGATGAGGCGGACCCACCAGCGCCTCGCCCCGCCTCCCATTGCAATCCCACGTCAGTTAGACGAGGTGTCTGGGCTGATTAATTCTTGTCTCAGCAGTCCACCTTCCGCATCGCCCTCGGAAGTTGCGGCCGCGGCGGCGCCGGGGGGTGGCCGGGGGAGGCCATCAGCGCCTGCGCGACGCAGGTTGGGGCCACCGGGGCGGCGCGGTCGACGGCATTCGGGTCTTTGGCGAGATTGGCCGCATCAGCGACATCATCAGCCGTGCCGATTAGGCCGCAGTTCTTGCCGCTCTCAGGGGATGGCCGCGACGAACCAGCCAGGTCGCAACATAGTTGTTGCGCTTACCAGCGTCACGCATGAGGCCCGCGGTTCAGGCAGCAAGCTGCAGCGCGCGGTATAGCGTCGCGCGCGAGCTTCGGGGGCCGAACAAAGTTCGCCCAACAACTTAGAAGACGAGACGATCCTGTCATCGTGCGTTTGCGCGCCAAGCTTGCCACGGTGGAGAAGGGTGCGCAAGGCCGCTCTGATCGACTGCGGTCAATCAAGTCCACTGCGCCTTCGGCTTCGCATGATGTTCGCGCCCTCTGGGGCATGGGCGGCGCCTCCCTTTGCTTGGGCGGCGGAGCCCCGCGGCGCAACAGTTCGATGGGCATGGCTATGGCGACCAGCCAGTTCCATCACAGGGTGTCGGCGGTGGTGTGCACGCAGCGCCCACGCCCGCGCTTTTCGCCATCGTGAATGCGGCCCAGCGCGAGTTGGCCTTCACCTGCACTGGCCCCCCCCCAAGGATCGCGTGGACGCGAGGACCATTGCGGGCCAGCTGCCCGCGGTCGGCGCGCCGCTCGCCGTCTGTCGGACGGGGGCCGGCAAGAGGAAGCGCTTCGGTCAGCGGACCCGCGCGCGCGAGCCCCCGCGGCGATGGAGCCCCAGCTTGAGGACAAAAATGCCGAAGTGAGTGACCGCCTCCTGCATCGCCGCTTGGGCCGAGACGGAGATCGGCCCGAGCAGCCGCCACGGCTAGCACCAGTGGCCACATTGGTGGTTCAGTGTCCCCTCGGCCGCGCGAAGCTTTTGGCCCCTCCGACCTTGCCGGGCGCCTCGCCTGCCCCCTGCTTCCGCGCCGTGACCTTGCCCCCGCTAGTGTCTGCGCGCGTTGGTATGTGTTCCATCGTTCCTTCGTCCCCTTCGCCCGTGATAAGTCCTGTCTGCGCATTCTTCTCTGCGCGCGGGGCGCGGCAGGCTCGCTCGCGCTTGATCTCTGATTTTGGATCGCTCGGGTCGGCAGATGCATCAGTGAGGCCGCGCGGGGTTTCATTCCATTCGTCATGGGCCGTTGGCTGAGCCCCAAGGCCACGGGCGCCCCCCCTCCTCAGCTCGCCAGATTTTGCCGCGGCCAGCGAGGGCATGGAGAACTTTGCTGCCTCAGGCCATGGAGCGCGGCCTGACTGCTGTCGCGGGCCTCTCTGCCGGGCCCGGCATTTTCAGCCGCGCAAGCGCCGGCAGATTGAGGGGGGCTCGCTTCGAATTATGTTCGCTGTTATGCGGGGGTCTGGCCTTGGAAGAGTTGGTACCATACGCAAAATGAGTTGCCTGGTGGCCAGCGCCTCGAGACGATTCTGCGCTTGCCGACCCGGCTTCCCTATGGGGGGCCGTGGGTGCGCGCGTTTCCGTCTCGATGTGCCCGCGCTTTCTTCGGTGCCCCCTGGCTGTCTGCATCTTCTCACGCCATGTTTTGATCGCGCAGCCATCCCTCAGGGAGGGCCGTTAGTCTTGGAAGTTTGCCATGCAGGCGACGCTCAGTTGCCGAGCCTCGGTCGCCCCTTGACAAGCATGATTTCGATGCTGCGAAGACTTCCGGCTGCACTGATGTCTGTCTTGGTTTGGGGGCCAGTTGATCGGGACATGTGCTCATCGCGGTGCGTGTGTGCGTGTGTGCGCGCGTGTCTGCGCGCGTGCGTGCGTGCGCGCGTGTGTGCGTGCGTGCGTGCGTGTGTGTGTGTGTGTGGGTTTGTGTGTGCGTGTGCGCGTGCATCTGCATGTGCGCGCGTGCGCAGCGGTCGGCTATTTCCGACCATTGGTGGGACTTTCCGCGCTTTGCACGCGTGTGCAAATCTGGACGAATCGTCTTGGCATGGCCCCTGCTCGACTTTTCACCGTTGGCTGCAAACGATTGGCGCGTCGTGGAAGAAGTGCGCGCGCGCGTCCGCACACAGCAACATACACGCGCACGCGCACGCTTGTGCTGCATGGCCGCTCGCGTGCACTTGGCACTTTTGCGTTCCGAGGGCATTTCCCTGCACGGCCGGCACGGCCGCTCGTTTAATGCATCTTCCTGCGTGCGCCGACTCGCCCATACAGTCCACCATCAGCGAGATGCTCGAGCGCGGCCCGTTTTCGCACTCTCTGGCGTCATTCGGATGGCGGAGGTCAAAAGTGCATCTGTGTGGTGCGTTTGTGTACGCGCACTGTTGCGAGGCCTTCAGCGGTCTCTGAGCGTTCGGGCGTCCCTAGTCGCGCGCGCGCGTTCGCTGCTTTAGGATCGTTTTTTTCCGCCCTGCCGCTGAGCGCGAGGCCGCGACGCCAACAACGAGTGTGCGCGCACGTCCGTGTGGAAGGCCGCGTCCCGTCTGTCGTCCGTGCATTGTCACCCGTGTCCCTCACGTCGTCTTCGCTTGTCGTCCATCGTTCGTCCGTCTGCCGTGTCTTTTTTGATCTCTACCGCGGGGCTCGTTTTGCGCGTGTAACTCAAGCGTACGTGTGCGTGTGTGTGTGCGGTGTGTGCGGTGTGTGTGTGTGTGTGTGTGTGAGTGTGTGTGTGTGTGTGTGTGTGTGAGTATGTGTGTGTGTTTGTGTGCGTGTGCGCGTGCGTGCGCGTGCGCGTGTGCGTGCGCGTCTGCGTGTGCGCGTGCGTGCGTGCGTGTGCGCACGCGCACGCGGACGGCCGCGCCTCGCGAGCACGCCCACCACCAGGCAGTTGGACGGCGGGACCTCCGGCGGGAGCGCGGTGGCGAACGGAGACTATCTCTGGGTTTTCGTCGCCACCGTCGTCGTTGTTTTCGTCGTCGTCGCCGTCGTTGCCGCCGCCGTCGCCGAGGTTGCTGCCGTCATCATCTTTGCCGTCGGCTTCCGCCGCCGCTACTCGGGGCGTTTTTCGTCGCCGCCGCTGCCGCCGATGCCGCCGCCATCTCCCTCGTTGTCATCGTCGTCATTCTCTACCCTTCCTCCTTGTTCTCCTGGTCCTTGTCATCATGCTGGTCCGTGCGCGTGTTGTCGCAATCGTCGCCGCCGCCTTTTTGATCTTCGATGTTGAAAGCCTTTTTTGATCGGGGTGTCCTGTCCTCGGTCCTTGTGTTACCTGTTGGAAGCCTCCGGACAGGTCGTTTCTTTGTCCCGATCCCAATCTTCGTGTTCTTCCTTTTCCGCATACTCTCCCACCCTTTTCCACCCTCATCCATCGTCCTCGTCCCATCAGGCCCTTCCTTTTTCCCCATCCCCACTTAAATTTTATGTGTCTTTGTTCATATAATCCTGTCTTTCTGTCACGTCGTCTAATGACAGTCCTCCTCATCGTCGTCTTCCTTTTCCTCCTCCATCGTCCGCAGACTGTGCAGGTGATGGGCAGAAGCGGACCGATTCCAACGAACCGGATCTCGATCCCGATCTTTCGCCTCCTCTTGTTCCTCATCCTCCTCTTTTCCTCTTCTTCATTATTCTTCCTCCTCAAACTCCTCCTCCTCATTGTTCTTCGTCCTCAGCGTCCTCTGCATCTTACACTTGATTCTTAAGCTCGCAGCGAGTGGCGAGGCGAACGGGGCTGGCGGAAGAGGCTTGCCGCCCCAGGAGGGGGGGAGCAGGCCCGGGCAGGAGGAACGTGGCGGGGTAGGAGGAAAAGCGCGGCGGTGTAGGAGGCGGCTGGAAGTGCTCGGGGCGGCTCGCCGCCGAGCGGTGGGCCGCACCTAGGGCGGGGGGGTGGCGCGGGCTCCCGACTACAGAGCTCCGGCCGCGCGAGAGACCCGCGCGCGCCGCTGGAGGAGGCGGAGGGGGAGGCGGCCGAGGAGGCACGGCCTTAGCAGTCGAGCGTCCAGGAGGGAGGTGTTGAGGGGAGGGGCAGCAGAAGCAGCAGGAGGGTGGGCTGAAGGAGGAGGGAGCTGACGGCAGGAGGCCCAGCAGGAGGAGGAGGAGGAGGAGGAGGCAGAGAAGCGGGCCGTTTTCGGTTGTGGAGCGCAGGGCAACGGCATTCGCTCGAGGCCTGAAGTGCGAGGGGAGGATGTTTTTGTGTCTCTGGGATTGGGCCAGAGCACTTCTCAGAAGACCCGAGGCCTTCCGAGCCTTCTGAGGAAGCCCGCCCCGTCTGCGTTCCCCCATTGGCTCGCCGCCGACATGCACTGTTGGTGGCGCCGGAGGAGTGGGCAGGGCACGATCCTTACAGTGGAGACCCATGCCAACAAACACCCACTTGCTTGCAGGGTGCCCTGGGTTTGTTGTGAGTCGATGGTTTTGTTGTGGACAGCGTGGCGCTCCCGCACCCAAAGTCGATGGGCGCCCTAGGGTCTCAGGATCGGGTTCATGCTAGCACGATATGTTTTTAGTGCGCATGTTCCATGGAATGGTGGGCGAAACAGCTCGCTGGACACGTGCAAGTCAATTATCATGTTGCTCTGGTGACTTGCGGTGCGTTTCTGATCCGTCTGATCGGCCCATCCTCTCTATCCTGCTTTTCCCTCCACGTATCCGCGTCCATCCCTCGCAGGAGAGTTTCCGGGAATTCGGAAGTCCTTCGGGGGGAACTGAATGCCCCCAGAATCCTCTGGAGTCTGCCATTCGCGCGTAATGTTCTAGGAGAAGGTCGCGGGTAGTCGCCCTCTTCTCCACGCAGTGCGACGCGATCGCAGCCCGCGTACGCAAGCGCGTAAGGTCGCCGCGTCGTCGTCCACATGATTTTCTCCGTCGTTCACTGACCCTGCTCGACTTCATTCCCTGCGCGCCCTCAGGCGACCGCCTCCAATGCTCGCGTAAGCGGAAAGAGCGTCTTGGTCAGCATCGAGCGGCGAGGTGGAGGAAGCGGAGGAGGAGCTTGCGAGCAGACGGATCCGTTGTCGACCTGCGCGCCCTCAGGAGCTTCGTCATCGCAGAGCCCGGACTGGAGCAAGGAGTCAGTCGACCTCCAGTCGGTCCCGACCCTGAGAGTAGGCCCGGCGCCACCTCCCTGCCCCGAGACGCGGGGCGCACCTGGTCGAAGGCGACGTGTCTGCCCCACCCCCAGACGTTTTTAATGAAAATTGAATCCGCTCAGAAAAGGAGGGCGATCCTGGGATACACCCCAAGGGGGCTGTTCGGACGCACCCGTATCGAGCATGGACGCCCCCCCTTCGTATATCCCAGGGTTGGGCCCAAAATGTATGGCCCATTCGAAAACACCACGAATCCTGAGATAGGGGTCGACATATCCCCTGCCACTTGGTCCTCCTGTTGCCTCTGTTCCTCAGAGGCGTAAGTCGGGCATGTCCCTCCACAGGAGGAATATTCAAAAATTGTCGGAAACTAGTCTGGAACGATTTTTCTATGATTGTTTGACTATTTGGGGGCATTGTTGGAGTAGTCTTTAATTTTTCGCCCAAGATCCGCCTGTAGGGGGACACGCCCGACCTGATCCGAGGCAGCGTCGGGGAGGGATCGGCCCAGTGGGGGCGGCGCATCTGAACGCGAGGAGCATTCTTGTTTTGCTGCTGTCGGGGGGCCTCCAGTGGAGACCCATGCCGAGAAACCGCCTGCTTGCCTCCAGGGTCCCAGCAGGAGGAGGAGGAGGAGGAGGAGGAGGAGGAGGAAGAGGAGGAGGAGGAGGAGAGAGGAGGAGGAGGCAGAGAGGCGCCGCTCTCAGTGGTGGAGGAGGGGGAGGAGGAGGAGGAGGAGGAGGGCCAGGGCGCTCCTCAGAGGACCCGAGGCCTCCCGAGCCTTCCGAAAAGGCCCGCCCCGTCTGCGCTCCCCCGTTGGCTCGCCGCCGGCGTGCAGTGCTGGCGGCTCCGGAGGAGCGGGCAGGGCACGATCCTGACAGTGGAGACCCAAGCCAAGAAACCGCCTGCTTGCGAGGAGGAGGAGGAGGAAGAGAAGGAGGGGGAGGACAAACAAGGGGAGGAGGAGAAACGGAGGAGGAGGAGGAGGAGGAGGATATGGAGGAGGAGGAGGAGGAGGAGGAGGAGGCAGAGAGGCGGGCCGCTCTCAGTGGTGGAGGGCAGGGGAACGGCAGGGCACGATCCTCGCAGAGGAGGCCCATGCCAAGAAAAAGCCTGCAGGGTGCCCTGGGTTTCTTGGGTTTCCGTGGCTTTGCTATGGACAGCGTGGCGCTCCCGCGCCCAAAGTCAATGGGCGTCTTGGGGTCTCGGGGTCGGGTTCGTGCTGGGTTTCTTGGGTTTCCGTGGCTTTGCTATGGACAGCGTGGCGCTCCCGCGCCCAAAGTCAATGGGCGTCTTGGGGTCTCGGGGTCGGGTTCGTGCTGGGTTTCTTGGGTTTCCGTGGCTTTGCTATGGACAGCGTGGCGCTCCCGCGCCCAAAGTCAATGGGCGTCTTGGGGTCTCGGGGTCGGGTTCGTGCTGGGTTTCTTGGGTTTCCGTGGCTTTGCTATGGACAGCGTGGCGCTCCCGCGCCCAAAGTCAATGGGCGTCTTGGGGTCTCGGGGTCGGGTTCGTGCTGGGTTTCTTGGGTTTCCGTGGCTTTGCTATGGACAGCGTGGCGCTCCCGCGCCCAAAGTCAATGGGCGTCTTGGGGTCTCAGGGTCGGGGTCATGCTGGGTTTCTGGAGTTTCCGTGGTGTTGCTATGGACAGCGTGGCGTTCCCGCACCAAACGTCGGTGGGCGTCTTGGGGTTTCAGGTGTGGGTTTCTTGTTGAAGGCTTCTTGTGGACCGGCCTCCACTGTGTCGACGATCTGTCTGTTGATGTTTCTCCCTCCCGGGGCTGGCCTCCCCCAATCGTTTTCCTCGCCAGTTCTTGCTCGCGAGAGCGACGATCGAGGCGTTCGGACGCTCTGACCCTTGCTGAACTTCTGGAGGTCTCCGAAGCCTCTGACCAGGGGCGACACAAAGACGCACGCGCACAAGATTTGAATTCCGACAGGCTTCGACGCGCGAGGGCAACAAGAGGGCGGCCTCGCGATAACAGGGGGCGCTGTGTTTGGGCTCCTCACGTTTACCACCCACAAAGCCACCCCAACCCAAGCCGAGGGCCCCAGCCTGCCCTCCACTCCCAAGCTGGGGGTCGGCGTTGGAGATCACTGAAGAGGACACATGGGGCGTTCCCAAAAGGCCTTGCCTCCGAGGGAAGAGAGGTTCTGTCTTCCTCGGCAGAAGGCGGCGCGAGGTCGGCAGGCGGAAGTAAGACGAGGCTGCCTACGCCGGCGGGAGCCTTCGGAAGGCCGACATGAGGCGGCAGAAGTAAAGGATGCGCCTACAAGCAAGGTGAAATCGTTTTTAGGTTCAGGGTTTCCGGAATCCGCCATATGGAACCCGTTCTCCACTGGTAGTCCCCAAACGCGTTGGTGACAACACCCGCGGTGAGTCTCGGGCGATTTTGTGTCACCACCCAGTTTGGAGATGTTTTGTCGTTTTTCGGAGATGTCCCGAACGTTGGTGGGCCCAGGGGTCACAGAACCCGGCGGTGTGACCCCGCGTGGTGGTTGCTTGGGGTTTCCAGGTCACCATCTGATTTCTCACCACTTGGTTTTGGGGCTCCAAATCCCCCCCCTCCCACGCGGGCAGCAGAACGCCGGCACGGCGGGCAGCGAAAAAGGTGGAGGGACGACATCACAGAATTCAAAGAAGAACAAGCACTTTAAACACGAACTTCTGCGCTCCGTGAAGATTTCTTGTCTCCGCGCGGAGCGCCAAAAGTGAATGTTTATGGCGATTTGTCTTGTTCTCAGAGTTCTTGCAGAAGACTGTTGGCAAAGTACACGGCACCTGGCTACATACTGCTGCCAGTTCCTATTTTTGGGAGGGCCTCGAGAGCGACTTTTGTGGCACGCTTGTGACCAGGCTCCAGCCCGCCCGCGCCGCCACCCAAGGGGCTGCCTGGTCCCCCTTCCCCTCGGACCCGCGCGTCTGCGTCTGCGTCTGCGCGGGAGGTCGGCGGCGACAGCTCTCACTCTTTGGGCATCATGTCTGCGACAAGTAACGGAACCCGACTTCCTCTCACGGAATTCTGCCATTCTCTCGCGTTCACACACGGAAGGTCAATGGACGTCTTGGGACCTCAGGGTTGGGTTTTTTGTGGAACGTTGCTTGAGGTCTTTCGAGGTCGAGTTTCTAGTGCAGATGTCTGCGACCGGTGGCGGAACCCGATTCCCTCTATTCACGGAGTTCAGCCACACGCAGAGGGCGGTAAGGGGAGGGGGGAAGGCTTACTATAGTGGGAACCCATGCCAAGAAATACCCTGCTTGCCTCCACGGTGCCCTGGGTTTCTTGGGTGTCCATGGTCTTGCTGTGGAAAGCGTGACGTTCCCACACTAAAAATCAATGGACGTCTTGGTACCTCAGGGTTGGGTTTCTTGTGGAAGGTTGCTTGAGGTCGAGTTTCTGCTGCAGATGTCTGCGACCCGTGGCGGGACCTGATTTCCTTTCACGGAATTCGGCCACACGCAGATGGCGGTAGGGGGGGGGCAAGGTTTCCTGGAGTCACCCCTCTTTCTCAGAAAGCGCTGGCATTGTCTACAGTCGGGGCCCTGAAGAAGGAACCCTTTTCGTTGGGGAGGGGCTCCGCGTTCCTTAAGTGTTTCGCAGCTTGCCTCAGGTTTTCCTTATGTTTTCGACAGGAAATCGAAGTTTAACTTATGGAAAAAAGGGGCCTCGTTCCTTATTTAGGGTTCCGTAGGTCAAGACCCTCACTGTGGGGCTGGCGTCTTCCAAGAAGCAGCCTCCCCCGACCCCCTCTTGTGCGCGCCGCCGAGGCAGAGGCTCGCTGCGCACCTGGAGTCACAGGCTGTGTCTCCCTGGCAGCAATCGTCAGATCCTGACGTGGCCTTCCTCCTCCTCCTCCTCCTCCTCCTCCTCCTCCTCCTCCTCCTCCTGTCTCCTCCTGTCTCCTCCTCCTCCTCCTCCTCCTGTCTCCTCCTCCTGTCTCCTTCTCCTCCTCCTCCTCCTGTCTCCTCCTCCTCCTCCTGTCTCCTTCTCCTCCTGTCTCCTCCTCCTCCTACTTATGCCTCCTCCTCGACGTCGTCATGGGGCGTCGTGCCCAGTGCTCCGCGGCAGGCCTCTCGCCGCGGCTCGCAGGAAGGGTTGCCTCCGAAGCGAGAGTGCGGAGCTCGGCCATCGCTCGGACGTGTGCACTTGTTCCTCGACGAGGACCATGGAGGAGCATAGGAGCATCTTGAGTCGTTTTCGAAAATCAACGCGCGAGATCGCTGTGCGCGCTGCGCCAAAACGGACCCATCGCTGCCTTGCCAGTCGGCCGGCCCTGTCCCAGGCTTCGAGAATTGATCGCGGGGGGGTTTGGGGTCAAATTCTGACGCTGCCCGGGTCCGAGATCGGGTTCTTGATCCCGCTTGACCGGGCTTGATTTTGCTGAAGCCCGTTTGCTCCCGCGGCCGAGTCTGGCGTAGCAGCCCCCCACTGGGGCTTGAGCTTCCTTGGCCCCTCCGACGAAGACCTCCCAGCAGTTGCCCCCTCGGGCCGGGCGAAAGGGGGGGATTGGGAAAGGGGGGGGTACGAAATTTGCTGCATGCAGCTGGTTTAGGCCTCACCGAGGGGCCCATTCCTCGATACATAGCCGCCTCCGCGCCGGGAAAATCAGCTACGTGAGCTGAGTCTCACCCCCCCCCCCTTTGCTATCCCCGCCTTTCGCCCGACCCGATCCTCATGATGGGCGCGCGGCCGGTGCCGCGTCCGCCGCCCGGTCCGCCGCCCGGTGGCATCGGCGCGCTCGCCCTGCGGCGCGTGGGTCCGTGGGCAGAGTGGGGGCCTGCCTGCGCTCGGCGGGCGCTCGCCGGGGGCGGGTGGCGAGGCCCTCGCCGGAGCGTCTCGCCGGCTCGGGGCACAGCTAGGGGGCCACATGTCACCACCCACCAAACCACCCCAACCCAACCCGAAGGCTACAATTCACCCTCCATTTCCAGTGGGGGGGGGGATCGGGGAACGTTGAAAGAACACATGGAACCCGAACCCCCCCCCAACCCGAAATTCGATTCAAATTCGGGTCTTCGGGTTGGGTTGGGGTGGTCTGGTAGGTAGTCAACATGCGAACCCTACTCCTACCCCCCACGATTTCTGAGGGGAAGGGTGGGGTTCACTTCGCTCGGGAGCTCTCGAACGAAGTGAACCCCACCCTCCCCCTCAGAAATCGTGGGGGATAGGGGTAGGGTTCGCATGTGGCCTCCGAACAGCTGCGCGAGGCCTGGGTCTCAAGCAGTGGCGAAGCGTCCTGGCGTGCTTATAGGCCTACCGAACAGTGTTCTGAGACACTTGTTTGTGGTTTCCACAAAATGGTCTTGGAACAGTTCTGGCTGGGTCTGTCTTGTTTTCACACATCGGGTGAATGTTCTGAGAACAATGCTGTTGTTCTTAGAGCATTTTTTGATTCTAAGAACATGTCGTGGTAGGCCTATAGGAATGCCTGGACGGTCGGTCCCTGCTCAAGGGTCGCCAAGGGAGTCTCAGTCCACACGGCGTAATGCTTATGCTGCTCCAACCTACTTAAGCCTTGATCACCAGAGAGAGTTTCGAGCACCCGAAAAGTACCGAAACTCTAGGGCTTTCACGTGTCGGGCCCTGGGAGACACTCGTCCGACACTGTTTCGACACTCTTTCGACACTCTTTCGACACTCTTTCGACACTTCTGCGGGTGCTCGAACTTATTTTTGGGACGTTGTCTTTAAGTACGATGGCAGCAACATAACGTAAGGCCATACGGTGTGCTCGGTCTCCGTCTGGGCTCCGCCTCTGCTGAGGTCGAGGCCCAGACCCCCGACGCCATGACTTTTTCATGGCGTCGACCCCCAGAAGCCTGGGCCCCTGCCCCAGGACTGGGTTCCCATCCCGACTCGTTTCCTGACGCTCCCGAGGCGGCGAGGTCCCCCAGGGTCCGAAAATGGCAATAAAAAACCTCCCTTCATGATGCTTTCATTACTCTCGTCCTCCTCCTCCTCCTCCTCCTCCTCCGCCTCCTGCTCGAGGGGGTCTGGGGAACCCGCACCTGCCGTCGCGGCGCGACGCGCCGAATCGATCGGCGAGCGCCCACGGCCCTGCGGTGGGCCAGCCGCGTGCGCGACCTCGAACCCGGCGGGCACGACACCGCGAGACGGGCGCCTCTCGGGGGCTCCCAAACGGGGTGGTGACCACACCGTGTGGTGAGTCGGTGGGGATTCGGGGTCACCGCACGGTTTTGGGACTTGGGTCGTTCTCCGGGGATGTCTCGGGTCACTGGAGCCTCCAGGGTCCCAAAACCGTGTGGTGACGGACCGTGCGGTGAGGTCTTTGCGAATTTCGAGGTCACCGCCGGGTCTGTCACCACACGGTTTTGGGGCACCCAAGCCCCCCCCGTCCCCAGGCCCCAGCCCCCCGCGCGTGGACGAAAGGGATCGACCAACAAAGCAAGCGACAGCACCCCACACCCAGCGAGAGGAAGAAAGGTACCCATGCCCATGCCTCTACCCTTCGGCCGCTTCCCCCTCTTCTGGGCCTCGTCGCCACCGCTGGATGCGCCTCGAAATTCTGGCTGGCACGCACCCCAGGCGAGGGCCGCGGAGCAGCGGTATCGGCACCTCTTGGTTCCCCCGCCTGCGAACCCCCGTCTTGCGCTGCGGCCCACCGGGGGCTTCAGCGCATGCCGCGCACAGACCCACGCCAGGTGTCCGCGCATTCGCTGAGCCACCCTGGGGTCGTTGGTGGTCAGGAGGGAAAGAAACACACAGACACAATTAATCGTCGAATCCCCAGAAAATATTGGAACTTCTGGGAAGTGGGGGGGAAGACAGAAACCCTAAAAATATAGGAAAATATGGGGAATCATTTTATTTGTGTGTATTTATTTGTGTGTCCTGGGGCCCCTTTAATAAAGGGCTTCGGTGAACAGACGCACGGTGGTGCGAGTGCACCTCCCGAGGATCAAAGAGAGTCGTCCTGGAACTTGGACCCCGGACCCTCGGTCGGCACACCTCGAGTCCCGGCGGACCCCCCCGTGGGCCGCCGCGGCCGGCCAGGGCCCGGCGGTTCCGTCCTCTTGTACAACTTCGACCTGCACGGGGAGGTCTCCTCCGCTGCCTTGGGGAGCCGCCGTCGCCTGGACTCGTCGCCGCCGAGGTCGTCGTCGGGGTAAACCCTGTCGTCGTGGCTGGAGGAGGAGGAGGAGGAGGAGGAGGAGGAGGAGGAGGAGAAGGAGGAGGAGGAGGAGGAGGACAGGTTCGGTACGCGAAAAACCCGACCACTTCCCACCCAAAAGACCTACACCCACGCAGTAGACCTGACCTCACCAACGGCAGCCAACCGCATGTGGCCCCAGATCTTATGCCACGTAAGCCAAACACCAACGACCGAAATGCACCCCGAAACGCACCTTCTCCACCAACAACGCAACCTCAACTTAATCCGACCACAACCTACGCCTGAACTACCCCACCCCAGCGGTCCACAATTCCAATTCAGACCCCCAAGGAATCTCACGACCAGGGACGGCGTCATCATACCCACTAACGTTCCACGCGACCATCCACACCTCTACAAAGGCGAAGTTGCACAAAGTTACCCACAGCAGACATGACAACAAAGTATGGCTGACATGCACAGGCCACAGACCATTACTTCACCACAGCAGCGTATACCGAACTTAGTGTTCAAGCCCAAGCGAGCAGACCAATACAGACCACCATCCGACGCCAGCTAGGAATACACACGGCCGCCAGGGGCACAGATACCCACTCCACCGACACAGACGGCGCCACAGCAGCAACCACAACAGCCACATCCCCACAATCCATGGGGACATGTCCGAGACAACCCAATCGACCTAATCTACGACACAACCGACTCCGACAGCAGCATAGACCAAAACGATCCTTGGGCCAAATTAGAGGAAGAGGAGGAGGAGGAGGAGGAGGAGCAAGGAGGCGGAAGAGGAGGGAGAGGAGGAGGAGGAGGAGGAGGAGACATTGTAGGCGGACAAGCAGCGTTGAAGGAGGAGGGGAGGGGGAGGAGGAGGAAGAGGAGGAGACAGAGGAGGAGACAGAGGAGGAGAAAGAGGAGGAGGAGGAGAAGCAAAAGGAGGAGGAGGAGGAGGAGGAAGAGGAAGAGGAGCAGCTGGAGGAGAGGGGAGGAGGGGGGGGAAAGATGAGTACCGAATTGTGAGGATGTCTCAGGCGAAACATGCACGACCACATCTCTCGCAGCATCTCGGACCTCAGAGTTTCGAAGATGCCGCAGGCGAAACTTGCCGGATCACCTCGCGCGCGGCATCTCGGAGTTGAGAGCGTGTCTCAGGCGAATTGAGCCGACACAGTTCTCGCGCGGCATCTCGAAGTTCAGAATTGCGGGGATCTCTCAAGCGAAACGGGCCGGACCACCTCGCGCGCGGCAGCTCGGAGTTCAGACTTGCGGGATATCTCAGGAGACACGGGCCCTACCACCTCGCGGGCGACAGCTCGGGGATGTCTCAAGCGAAACGGGCCAGGTTCACCTCGCCCGCGGCATCTCGGAGCCTAGAGTTGCGAGGGTATTTCAGGCGAAACGGGCGGGTCCACATCGCGCGCGGCAGCTCGGTGCTCCGAGTTGCGAGGATGTCTCAGTCGAAACGCGTCGGACCACTTCGCGCGCGGCATTGCGAGGATGTGTGAGGCGAAGCGTGTCAGACCCACCTCGCCAGCAGCACCTCGGAGCCCAGACTTGCCAGGGTGTCTCAGGCGAAACGCCCAACCCTGGCCAAGTGGTAGTTGTTTTGTCCATTGTTTTGCCGATCGGCGCGGGCCCCCAAACCCCCCCTCCCCCTGGCGCCTGTTTTGAGCAGGTGAAGTGCTCCTCATAATGGACGCCCTGCTGCAAACAGTCGCACTATAAGCAGAGGTCTGGAGCCAGACCCGCTCCCCTCCCCGCCCCCCCTTTGCCGCCCAATGTCGAAACGCCGAAAATTATCCTGGCGAAGGACCCGACCATATGCAGCTGTGGCTACCGCGAGTGTGAATCTCTTCCTCGGTGGAGCTCCCTGGGTGGGCGAAGCGCACGGAGGAGGGAGGAGGGGGAGGAGGGCACGGGAAGCGGAGAAGGAGACACGGGGACCGCTTCCCCAAAACGAGGACCCAACACCACATCGGAGGTGTATAGACCTCCTACCCTGACACGTCGATTAGTGAATTGGCCGTTTTCGGTTCGCGAGAGGGCGTCCTTGCCGTTATTTGTGCGGGTCCAGGTCCGTCGGTTTCGGTCCCAGGCCGTTTTCACTTTGGGGAGGTTTATTAAAGGGAGGTTTGTCCACCGCCGACCACAGGATGGTTGGGAAACAAAACGCTCGCCAACCCGGGAACGCGAGTCGTGAGGTTGCCCCCGGCGAGACGGGCCAGGCCACCAGCCGTTCCCGGTGATGTCTGGGCGCGCCCGGCCCTCGACCAGAGTCCGCTCCTCCTCCTCCTCCTCCTCCTCCTCTTCCTCCTAGTCGCAATTTGGGCTGGCAGGAGCATGACCGACTTACGAATGTCTTGCTTTCTACCCAAAAGCGATTCTGACCTCCCATAGTTCGGCCAGGCGGGGGGGGAGCACACACACACACACTTCTTACCATCATGAGAATCGTTCAGTATAATCCACTTTATGCGGGGTCTGTAGAAAGGCTAAACGACATTAGCCAAGAGCTTTCCCAATGGGACGTGATCCTCCTCAACGGTACGCATGAGTGGTGTGTGTGGGGAAGAGCCAGCAAAAAAAACAATCCTTCCGAACCACTGGTGCCTAAGATTTGGAGCAAAAAAAGGACGAATGGTGACAAAAGCATGCGGAATTTCTATCTTGGTTCACAAGAAGATCCCACCCACTGCGTTCAGGAGTATTTACCACCCCCCTTGTGGGTGACAGGGCAGAGCAGCAGACATTAAGTTACATGTGGGGGACCAGGACTACGCACTCTTCTCCACGTACTTTGCGCCAGTGCACGTTCGCTGCCACAGTGAAATAGGGAGGAGACTTTGCGAATGGCTAGAACACACTACTGACTGTCTCGGTGGTAGAGCTATGATTCTCGTCGGGGGATACATCAATAGCGACCTAGGGTTCTACCGAGCCCCAGATTGACTAGTGCAAACATCATACGAGAAATGCCTGGGACCTTATGCGCATGTACTTGAAAACGACAGCGGAACCACAGCTATCAAATTAGCTTCCCATAGCGAACTAGCGTTTGTGACGACATACTGCGACATTGGGCACACATTCGCGGGACCACAGGGGGGACTGAACAGGGTCGACCACATGATGATTCCGACAGGTGCTTTAGGAGTTGTGGACAGGTGCATGGTATTTCACACTGCAGGAAAGCGCCTACAGTTGATCAAAGCACGAGGGCCACGAGACCATCTACCAGTGGGGTTGGTTCTCAATAGGAAGGCGGTCCACTTCCCGCGCCCCCCACTCCCGCATGCTCAGCGACTGGACAGGGATGCGCTTATGCAATGCCTCAGGAAAGGGACGAGGAGAGAGGAGCTATTGAAGAAGATGGAGGATGAAGTAAGCAAGACGGGGGAGGAGGAGTGGCGAAGTCTGCTGGACGCACCGACACCCGACAGAGCCTGGGCGAAGTTTGGAGACGCCGTTCGCGGTGCACTGCGACAGACGTTCCCAGCCAGCAAACCGACGGAGGATCCGATAGAAGCCAGGCTCAAGGGAAGACGGATGAAGTTGCTGGGCGACAGGAGAACCCTCCGAGAAACGCTGGTCCCAGAGATCCCAGAGGAGGCACTCGTTCAGAAATGCGAGGAGCTTAAAGAAATCACAGCTGCCCTGAAGAAGATGAGGGAGGAGAGGGAGAGGGAGAGGAGGGCGAAGTTGGTGGAGGACATATGGGAGGCGTCGGAGAGAGGAGACTTCTCGGAAATGCGTAGGCTGAGGATCCAGTACTTCACGCCAAAAACTCATTGGACGAAAGCCACGTGGGAGGAGGAGCTAGCTAAGCCGCCAGAAGAAGGAGGACTAGGAGCGGTCAGGATGAGCATTGAGGAGCAGCTGGAGGAGCATGAGAATTTTCACTCCAATAGGATGCCATTGCCGTGTGACCACGACCTGTTGGAATGCGCAATGCGAGATCGCAGGTCGATAATGCAGTATTGCAGGAAGGCAAAAAAACGGCGAGCATGGCCGGCGTGGGGGCTACCTGTGGAAGCGACTCTTCTCTTGTTGGATCCGACGGCACAATTGTCCGACCCCAGCGAGCAGACTAGGAGGTGGGAGGAGAACAGCGGAAGCAGCAGGAGATGATGAGGAGGAGACCGCCCGCTTGCCCGCAGCTTTCCGATTCCAGCGAGGGAGGAAGTTATTAGAGAAGCTTGGGTGGACAGGAGGAGGGTTGGGAGTCAGAGAGGGTATCACGGCCGATCCAGAAGCGCTGCACGACAACTATGGTGCAGGAAGAGAGGGAAGAGCAGGCTGGGAAGAGCTAGACCGAGTGGGTACAGCAATCCGACGGTGCAACGACGGCTCACCTGATGTGCTGGCCGAATGTAGGGCGGCTGTGACGACACCACTGGACTGGCACAAATCGATGGCATTCGACGCAGATAAATCCAATGGGCGAGAGGGAATACAGGGCAAGCGTATCATGCACGCGTATTGCAGCATGGGGATGTCGTGGTTTTCAGGAATGCACAGACGAGGCAACCCCACGATTCACCACGCCTGGGCACAAGGAGGCCTGCCCTCTCGATGCCGGGAAAATGCGATAGCCACTATCGACACTACGAAACGGAAGGCCAGCCAGCTAGGATATAGTAGCATTTACACGAACTACGATTGTAGCAACGCATTCGCCAGCACCAAGAAGACTCTCCTACAGGCAGTAGCGTACAAACAGGCCGACGAATGGGATAAACCACATGCGGTAGGTGCGATTGAGGAGACCAGCCTCGCGATGGAAGCAGCAGGTGGCACAGTTACGGTGGCGACGACAACAGGAGCGCAACTGTGATTCACGCTATGCCCACGGCAATTCAACGACAGTTACAACATTTACGTGGGTAAGTGGAACGACCTACTGAGAGAGGACCCAAACCAAAAGCT